CATTTTTAAGTTTTTTTATTTTTTTTCAATGTGGGGGGGTGGGGCCTCGGGTGCGCCCCCGGAATCCCGACCCCGACCTCCGGTACCCCCTCCCCATCGCCCGCAGCGCGCCTTTTTCGACGGCGGCCGCAGCGGTCATGACCGCGGGCCTGCGGTCGACCGCATGGGCCGCGGTCATGCCCGCGGTGACCGCAGCCGCGGGGGATACATAGCCTCATGCTCTCTCTACCCTAGATCGTAACCCTGGACACAGCCACTCAGGTAAGCTTTACATTTGGCCGCTATGGCTGCTCCCTCTACCCCAGCTATGGAGTAGCTCTCGTTCCGAGTCCTGCGCCCTCTTTCCTCACAAAGTGCCCAAGTTGCCTTAACGCACAAGCAGCAGCAGCGCTTCTGCATCTTGCAATGAAACGAGTGATGAACCGGTGGACTGTAGCAGCCAAATATAGGACTTGACTTGGCTTCGCCTGCTTCAGACCGGTACTGTACTACGGCGGCCTGTCTGCTGCAAAGATCTTGTCTGTCTGGTAGCTTCCGGACTTTCCCAGGGACATGCTGAAAATTTGGACTTGGGACTGCTGGACTGGATTGGACTTTTCTTGTCTGCGGACAGACATCTACAGAACTACGGCGTTTCGGTACCGACCCCTACCGACCTATGGGACTTCAGCCTATATTCCCTGTGGCTTATCCTAAAGGGACAGCGTGGGACTGGGACATCTCAGGACCCTGGGACCTGGAGTCCTGGACTAAGATGTCAGCAGCGTGAATGCTTTCACTCCAGCCGGCCTAATTTCGAGGTCCTCCGAGAAAAATCCTATTTTTACCGTCGTACACATTCATTCTTTGTACTGTCTCTGTGGTCTCCCTCTGCGGCCTGTATGGGAGACATCTTCAGCCACTATTCTATCTATATCATAACCTCCATCCGTGTCGGGTGGAATCATGGAATGACGAGAGGGAAACTCATCGTTTGGGATGCAGGGAAGCAATGTAGACGCGTGGAACACCGAGTATGTGTGCAGGTGGGGTGGAATCTCGATGGTGTAGGAAGGTCCATCTGCCTCTCCCTTGTCATCTAATACTTGCCATTTAACCCTATACGCAGGTAACAGATTCTGCGCGGGGCGTCGGTGCTTGTTGGCCTGTTCCACCATCTGGTGCTGGACTTTGAGGATGTCCTTCGTCACCAGCTCTAGTTCTTTCTCGTACTAAACAACGAACTTTAATTCCCTCGTACCAGGCGGCAATCTTTGAATCTGGTCTGGACTCATGTAGTCAATTGGACGTCGGGGCGGACGGAGAAGGCCTGTCTCACAGAAAAGAACTCCCACAAAAAAATGCGCCTTCGTTTAGGAGAGAGGGCACGGGACCACTTCTTTTCGAAAATGCCCCAATCCTTTTGCAGCCGTGCGCTCCCCGAGGGACACGACATCAACGGTTCCACAATGCCGCGTGACGCCGCCTGGCTGGTCGAGGTCCCTACATCTGCGGAACAAGTGGACCCCACTGCTTTGCGGCAAAGCTTTGGAAGATGATTTGTGAGACCCCACTGCTTTGCCGTAAAGCTTTGGATGTGAGATGCCACTGCTTTGTGGCAAAGCTTTGGAAAATGCAGACAAATGACGTAACAAGTGCCCACCAGGCGGTGAGGTCCACCTCTCCTTTTTACTTAGAGTTGGACCCCACAGGAAAAACGATGGAAAAGACGTCTGGCCATAAAAAATGGCCGAACGATTTTGGAAAGGTTGGTAAACTGTTTTGGCCGGACCCCATAGCGGACACGGCAAAGTGCGGAAGTGATATTCTGTAATATGAAAGGTGCCCGTTCAGCATCCCGAAAAGGAAAGTGGCCGAATGTCCGAAAGGCGTGGGTGGACCAAGAAAACCAAATGTCCAAAAGGCGTGGGTGAACCCAAGGAATGACTGTGCCGCCTCATCTGGGTCACGCAGGACCGGGGCCAAGGGGCCGGATACTCGCTGGTTCAGACGGTGGGGGCAACCTTGGAAAGTACCCTGCGCACTCCCTCCCCCGGTCTCAACTTTCGGCACAAAATAGCGGCGAGATGTCCTCTGGAGCCACTTTTCCACGCGGCAAACTATGTGAAAACGGTCATACGCCATTAGCTGCGGGTTGTTTCGAAGGCATTTCATTTTGCTTTTGCCAGAAGGTCCTCCGCTGCCTGTGGTGTCCCGCAAACAGTTTCGCCGAAACTTTCTTCCTTTCTGCATTCCTGTGGGGTCCAACTCTTACTATAAGTATTGTGGTATCAGACCCTTCGAGCTGCATGTGCTTAAAGGTGCGAACAGCGGGGCTGGAATGCGTAGCGGGTGATTCGGAGGTTGCTAGCGCAGAGTGTAGCCGAAGGGGTGTCTCCACGCTGCCCGTGGAGAGGAGCGAGAGCACGGCTACACTTGCACGCCGACACTCACTCGAGTCGGTGGCCTTCGTAGATGTGAAGGTGGTTGTAGAGGTTGCTGAAGAATTTGAAAACGAAGACTTCCTCCCGCCTGCCAGTATGGAGGAAGAAGCTAGACGTCGAAGCTGATCACAATGGCGCAACGAGGGTTCACACCAGTCCCCTCCGTTGCCACCATGGCGGCCCTGCTGTTGCTCGCATTCCTAACGTCGGCTATGCATGGACAAGCCGGAGATAGAAGCGGGTACGGTCAAGATCTCGGGTTTCAAGTACAAAGGTGATGGCTGCCCACAAGGGTCTGCGGAGGGGGCAGTATCGGATGACGGAGAAGTGATCACTGTGATGTTCAGCAATTACACTGCGTCGACAGACGCTGATGGCTTCTGCCATCGGTGTCCGAGGTGCACGGTGGCGGTCGAACTGAGTTATCCGCCAGGTTTCCGCTTCCACTTGGGGACGGTCACTATGCGCGGATACGCCAGGCTGGACGAGGGCGTGAGCGGGACCGCAAAGACCAGTTACTATATCTCCGGGCTACCAGGGACAGCTCTAGCCAAGCGCGTCATCACCGGCCCTTTCGATGATAACTTCGAGTTCACGGACCAGTTCGGTGCGGTAGTGTACAGCAAGTGGAACGTCGTCGGAGACCTCAACCTCAAGTCCGACGTGTTACTGAAAGCTGGGAAACCAGGGAAAAGCGGCCTCGTGACCGTGGACTCTCAGGATCTCAGGCTAACGCAGGAGTTCGCCATCATCTGGGAGTCGTGCTAAGCTCCGGGCGGCGATCCAACATCCTCAGCTTGCCAGCTTGCCAGGGGCTAAGTTTGGCCATTATAGGCCATATTCACACGAGGGACTTCCTTGGCCGAATGTGCATGCGGTGATGGAGTCCCGGTGTGGATGCGGCCCTTGAATGGATAGGCGAAGGAATGCCGGGAGGACTCAGAAGTGTCCCCTTGCAGGCCAGGCCCGAGGGACTGCTTAGAAGAGCGCGAGGTTATGGGGGAGCAGGAGGGGGAAACAAGAGGTGACACTGGCTCCGTAGGATGGCCAATGGAGTCTGTGCGAAATGACGAGGATCCGTAGTGACGATCTGTTTATATCAGGACATCTCTTCTTATCAAAACTCTCCGACTGCATTTGAAAGTCTTTGGTATACTTTATAATAGTAGCTGTGCGAGGTAATCAAGTAGTAGAATGTCCACTCAGTCTACAGACCTTCCGTGGCTGATGCGGGAGTAAGGACGTCCCAGACAGCTTAGCCGAAGCATCTCTCTCTCTCTCTCTCTCTCTCTCTCTCTCTCTCTCTCTCTCTCTCTCTCTCTCTCTCTCTCTCTCTNCTCTCTCTCTCTCTCTCTCTCTCTCTCTCTCTCTCTCTCTCTCTCTCTCTCTCTCTCTCTCTCTCTCTCTCTCTCTCTCGCTCGCTCGCTCTCCCCCCCCCACACACCCCCCCGTCTCCTTGTGTTGGTGTAGTTGATCTGATGCCGGAGACTGCCTTTATCTCTTTCTTCTCGGTGCTGCCGAAATATTGACGTCCAGGAAAAAAAAGGAGGGAGTTTTCAATGATTTAGTGGTATCATATTGTGTAAGGATTTTGAATTTCGCGTAATGAGATCTTGGTCAAGGTACTGAGGTCGCGTGCTCTCAGGGCACTGCTTCAATTTGTAAGCTTTGTGCTTTACATGGTTACTCAATCCCTCAGTTTAATTTTTCGAACGGAATCTTATTTGTTGTCATGGGGAAAGACTTACCGACCTCTCGTTTTTCCGTTCTACCTTTTCTGTGCCCCCGATTTGTGGAGACGACCCTTTCTTGGTTTGCGCGTGGTATCCTGTTGTTAATCCTCTTTGCTTTCCCCCTTGCATCGTCCCGGAGCTTACTTTGCCAATCTGCTCACTTGCTGAAAATCCCTCTCCTCGTCCAGGCCAAACCCCCACCCTCCTGCTCCCCTCCGCCGCCCTCCCCAAACCCCCCCTTCCACCCGAAGAAGAGTTCAAGATTGCCTTTCGGGAGTCGTCTCTCCCTTCTCCTACGTAAGAGTTTGTCGCCATGCTTGATGGCTCGTTCACATTGAGGAGCTGGTTTTCTCTGATCTCGTTTCTGTCTGTTTCATTTTTCGGGCCCGTGTTTTGCAATATTTCCCCCATCTCGTTCGTTTCTTCTTTCCTCGGCATTCTTGTCCGTTTTGCTTGTCGCTGGAAAAGACCCATTCACCCACTGGCATGCTTATGGATGAGATTTCACATACCTTGATTCTTCATTTCTCACCGTGCAGATCGCCACACAAAATTTAATCAACCATTACAGATATTATGACGAATCAACGCAACCGGGACGGTCCCACTGCGGCTATCTCCAAGCTGCCAAAGTGCTATTTGATCCTGACCGTCGATCGTCGCTGATTTCCGGGTCATGGCCGGCAAGAGGCACAGCGGCTTCGGTAGCATAGTACATGTAAGTTCCCATTTCAGAAGAGAGGAAAGCAGTCGGAGCTGGAACCTGACTTAACTGTTTTGGAGATGATAGATCGCTCATCGGGCGATGGCTCGTGCGGTAAGTCTCTCTCGCAAAAGCGAGGCTATGTGTCGAGATCTCCCAGTGGGCGCTTTCCACCAATTATCCCCTCAAGTTTGTGTGCATGCTGACGATCATAGACGGCACGTGACGTCGCCCCTGGCTGGGATTGCAACTCTTATGCACTCCGGGAAAGCATGTCATTGAATTGTGCACACAGATGGCTGCGAAAGCGAAATCCAACAAATATAGGAGCTCGAGAAACGGCATCGAGATCCCACAGGTTTTTGGGATGAACCAGTTCTCGAGCCCCGGTCGTTCAGATCCGTCCGATCTGGAAATCTCGTGGTCAGACTTTGGCCGCTTCGACAAATGCTCGAGAACCACGGTAGGTGATCACGCTCCCAGTGCGTGGGACCTGGTTCCAGGGATGACTCTACTGGTCCTTTGATCTGTTTCGTTTGTTGCGTCTCAATCAAGAAATTTGTTCGTCATTATTGAAAAGAAAAAAGGAGAAGTAAAAGAACAAGCAAAACCAGAAAAGAAAAACCGGGATTAAACTGCATCCCCCCCCTGTTGACGAGCTGGTTTGGGTTGATGATCTCCCCACTATTTTTTGCTCTACTCCAAAACTATGTATCACCCGGGGCCGCGGCCGTGGCGTCAAACTCGGCGTCGGTCGGGATCATAACCTTGGTTGGGTGCTACCGCGACTTTCAGGAAACTTTTTTAGGGTTCAAAACATTCTTAAAAAAAAATTAAAAAAAAATGATGTTGCAGATCGTTTTGAGATCTACATTCTGCAATTTCTTTATTTTATTTTTTGACTTCATCTTTGAATTTTAAAAATTCACAAAGTAATTTCCCTGATGCAAAAGCTGTTTTTTTTTTTGGGGGGGGGGGGGGGGGGGGGGGGGGGGGGGGAAAATCTATGGAACTTTTTTTTTTTTTTTTTTTTCAAATTAAGTAAAGTTTTTGGATATGACCATAAGGCAAAAGTTGTTCGGTTTAACCAACGTGCCTAGATCAGTTGGTACACCCCTGAGCTGTTAAACTACAGACTCAAGTTCGAATCCAGATATCCTCAGATGAACAGAAAAACATGATAATTCCGAATTGCCCAGGGCCGGTCAGTTCAAGGATGATATCTAAAGGCCGTCGCGCTTTAAAAAGAAAAAAAAGAAAAAAAGAAAAGACAGGTTGTTGAGTTTATTTTTCTGCATAACATATTTCGTTTCCAGAATGTTTTGATTTTTTATATTTTGTTTTCCATACTGCGGGGACGCGGCCTTCAAACTATGCTCCTGCATCAACCTACACACAGAACGACAAATCCAAATTACGGAAATAAAATCCAAAGTACGGAAATCCAAATTACGGTAACGTTTTATGATCACGGCTGGAATTCATGAGTGCGCTGACAATACAGCTCGACTGCATCTGCCCTCTCCCAGCGTGCAGATTCGAGTCATGCATAATTCCAGCTTTGGCATCACAAAGTTCAGCACGAGGTTCAAGCCTGACTTATCTTCGTGGTTTCTTTACTCTCCTAATTCCTCCTCCTTCCCTCTTCCGTTTTGCACCTCCACTATCCCTCCCCTTCCCCCTACCTCTTCCTCTTTCTCGTCTTCCCTCCCCTTCCCCACCCATCCTCCCCTCTTCCCTATTCCCGCTGCTGCATGTAGTCCCTCTTCCATGACGTGCTTTTAAAGAATCGGTTCCTCCTTTCCTCACTCCTATACCCTGTATAATTGATCTCGCTTCGTATCTTTTCTCGTATTACAGAACGGAGTGGCTGGACTTAATTATATGGTCCATGGATTTCGTTATCTTCTGGCTTCGTGTTCTCAGAATCTTTGTGGAAGTCTCGTATGGTACGTTAACTTATCCGATTGCTAAATGCTAGCGTGGTGATGCGTGGAGAAGGGGTAGGAATGCTAGAAGGCATCAGCAGTATTAATGTTATCTTCTCTGTCTGTGCGAATTGCGGTGCTAGAAGAGCCTGCGACTCTGCAGTTGCTATGCTCATGTACTCGACGATCAGCCAGGAAACGCCAAAACTACCTTCCGTTTTTATGCACCCCCAGCAGTTACAGGAAAAAAAACACTAAAATACAAAGGAGAGGACAGAGGCACGGAGGGTTCGGCTGGGGAGCAGGAGAAGATAACGAGGAGGCAAGCCCCTGATACGGAGGGAAAGGCTGTGGAGCATGTAATACCCAGAGCACATACGAAAGAAACACAAGAACACTCGAGAAACATGGGTGCTCGTGCACGCAGGCGCACACACACACACACACACACACACACACACACACACACACACACACACACACACACACACACACACACACACAGGCACAGGCACACAATCACTGGCAC